ACTTAATGCTGAGTTTTTTTTTTCCCTTTGACTTGTCACCCATGTGAATATACGTGTTACATATGGTGTGATCTCACAGTTTCTCTTATATACATGATGGAGAGGACTCTTTCCCTCTGTGAGAAATGTTATTACTGATATTGTAGTGGTGAAATGAAAGTATGAACTATGAACTGGGAAATTATTCCACTGTTAGTAGGCGAGTAATCACCATTAGTCTTCAGTTTCTCTTAGAAGATTCTATGATGTTACTTTCATGTGTCCAATATTTTGTATCTATGCACTAAAATAAAGATTTGTTTTATTTTCTATGATGTGTAAACTCATATTTGCCATTAAGCTTGTAAGTCAAATGGGTTTGCTTTAGAGCAGCACATCCCCAGTTATTACTGCGGCCCTCCGTCTTCCTCATTTTCTTTCCTTTTCAGCCACTGTAAACTCATCTCTCCCTTCACTGATGCGCTCTGTCTGATTTATGTCAAGATCTCTGGTTAAAAATTGCAGAGTAAGTGAATACAGGCTTTTGTGTCTGAGTGTGATAGGGGGCTGTAAAAAGAAAGATTTGCAATTGTGCATCATTCTCTGTGTGTGACGCTATAGTCAGATATTTCTATCAATGCTACGTTAAAATGATACACCTCTCAGGCTTAGCAGGAGATTCCCCGCAGGGCGGCACAGCCTGAATTAATTAAAAAATGCATTTATTTATCCAAAAAGAGACATAAAACATCATCTTGACGCTTTAATAGCAAATGACGGCAGCAGGGAGAGTGTTGACTCATCACCTTCAGTTTAGATTTGTGTGTTTGTGTCTTCTTAAACTTTTCCCTACTTTTTTTTTCCATTTCATTTTTCAAACAAATCGCTCATGTGCCCTCCTCAGAAATCAATCAACAGTGGTACCCTGCTTTAAAAATAATGTCTGAAATGGGAAACTCAGCAGATTCCAGGTTTTTTTTTTTTTGGATCATCTTCGGTCTCCTCTCGTTGAAATTGGGGATCATCCTCTCGCTGCTACTGACACTGACTTCTGATGTGGAAGTTAAATAAATAAAATCATTTCTCCATGGTAATTTTCGTCAAACCTGCCAAATGCAGCCTAAATATTTGACATGGAAGGAGAGAAGATCAGTGAGAAGTGAGATCAAAGGAGGGGGGGAGGGTGTGTGTGTGTGTGTGTGTGTGTGTGTGTGTGCGAGTGTGTGTGAGTGTGTGTTGGGATGGTGCAAGTAGTGATGAAACGTACTCTGCAGTGTGATATTTTCAACACCACCAAATTCCGCTCCATCTCCTCCACACATGGGAGTAATCTAAACTCAAAGCAACGTTAGTGTGTCTCAGCATGTATGTGTGTGTGTGTTGGTCTCCAGCCAGGGGCAACTATTCTTCATATTCCTGTCACCTACTCTTCTTCTCTCTCATCTTCCTCTGTCTCCAAAACAACACACACACACAAACACACAAAACGATTGTATTTGTCTTTATCAGTCCCTCCATTTTCCTCGCCCCTCCTTGTGTTCGGCCTCCTTCGTTCAATATTTCATGCTGTTGAGAGCAGATCTATTCTGAGCTCTCTCTCTCTTTCTCTCTCTCTACACACACCCTCTCCTCCCTCTCTTCCTCCATCCCTCCCGTCTTCTTAAAAAAAACCCATCCCTCTACACATCACTCTTGCTGTCCTCTCCCTCCGTCTGTACCTCTATAAATCTCTCTCTCCCCCTCACTCTCTATATCTCATTGCACTCCTAATGTTCTGTGCCCCATCTAACTCTTTTTCCCAACTCTGACTTACATTCTCTTCCACCCTTTCATTTCCTTTTCCTCTCCCTCCCCTCCTCTTCTCTTTCCTCTGCTCTCCGCCGTCCCCTCTGCTGGCTCAGTTCGCGTGACTGTTCAAAAGTATCAGCTCCTCTTCTCCTTCCCTTAACCCCTCACTCCTTGTCTCTCCTCTTTCCCCCTTGGATTCCTCTCCAACCAAAACACAGAGAAAGCCCTGTTCTCTCTTTTTGCACCTCTTTCGTTCCTTGCATCCCCTCCCCACCTCACCCCCCTCCCCTTGCTGTTCTCCTTCTCCCATCCAATCTTAGTGGCACCTCTCCTCATCCTCCTCCCTCTTTTTTTTCTCTTCCCTCCACCGAAGCTCTGTCGTACTCAGCTCGATCTCCAGCACCCCCCCTCCTCAGTCTCCTCCTTGCTCTTAGCCTGTACCAGTGTTGTTTTAGGCACAGCAGTGAAAGGTAAACAGAGAGATTGAAAATTCGTGTCAGTCAGTCGGGTGAGAGAGGGACAGGGAGGGAGGGAGAGCAGCAGAGGTGGTGAGGGAGCGAGAGGAGGCGGGGGGAGTGTCAGTACAATTTACTAACACAACAGTGAACAGCGAAGCAGGCCAAGACACAGAGCGAGTGGGAGGCGGAGTGAGAAAGAGACTCCCAGTTCAAGAATGCCATTGAAATGCAGCACACATACAAGTGTACAAAAATATAAAGTGTTTCGTGTACATTTACATGATGTTCATGTAAATACAAGGGTCCCGCTGAATTCATATATATGCATGTGTACTTCCTGGGGCCCCAGAGAGGGATGTGACTCATAGAGGGGCCTAATATCCCATCATCAGTGCTATGAGAAAGCTCCGATTAGATTTCGAGGTTGCAGAAAGGAGCACTTGACAGATGTGTTGTTGGCCGGCTCTGGGTTGGAAATGTCATAAGAGCCTCGGTGTCACCGCATGCAGTCAGCCCCGAGGTCGTTTCTCATAATAACCCCAATACAAAAGTAATCCAATAGCACTGCAACCCACGCCTGGAAAATCCAACCTGGATGATTAGAATTGACAGGGGCGTTTGCTGAAACAGAACATGTCAGCGTCTGTTTCAAAGAAACCGAACGGAGAGGCGAGAAGTGGAATTTTTGTTATTCAAAAAAGTACCAAATCGCTGCTTCTGCTGCTGTCCGCTTTTCAGACTTTGCCCTCCTGCACCTGATTTACAGTTTCCTTTCAAATGTAGCCATATGGTGCATTTACAACCAGCCCCTTGTGGACACCACACAGTCAATCATTGATGCTTTACAGACTGCATTTTAAAGGGACAGTTTATCTAAATGGGAAAAACACATTTACTCACTTAATTCTTGTCTAGCCGTGCATATAGTTTAGGTTTAATTTGCATAGACACTTTAAAAATCAACAGTAACTTCTTTCCAAAAACAGTATCCCTGTTGTTGTGGATAGTCCACAGAACACACTGTAAACTCTTTCTAAAGGTGTGATAACCGCCTTTGCTCATTACCCTACATCAGTGGTGTTGTGGAGGGTATATGCAGGTACACAGGCTATATCTACTACTTTTTCTGGCTGTTTACAGTATACCCACCTCTTGTATGATATGAGAGTGGTGTTAATCGTCTCTTCTAACTCTCAACAACAAAGCAAATGAGAGTAATTCCCAAAATGTTATACGATTCCCTTACATCTTTAAAAATCTTTTTCATGTTGTTACCACCAAAAATAAATAAATAATTGTAAAAATTAATTATGACGGCTGAAATTTCAGAGAGAGACCCAAAGTCGTCTGCATGGACACCACTGGGGCTTGATCATAAAATATGTATGTATCTATGTTTATACGTACAGGGCATGTATATTTGATTGTAGCAGGTGTTTAACTGTGTTGCTGTGATATCACACAATGCAGTGTGGCGATAAACAGAGATACAACACGGGGAGACTAAGGAGAAATGATGGGAGCTAGGAGAGGAGGCAAAGGAGGAGTGCTCATTAAAAAAGTTGCATGGCCGCTGTAAGGGAGAGAGATGGAGAGAGAGGCATAGGCAGAGGAGACAGGTAGACCACCAGAGACAGAGAGGCAAAATAGCAGAGCCAGGTAGCAGCGATCGCAGAACGGAGACAAGTTTGCATTGGAAATGGGAGGATAAGGTGAGGAGAAGAGGAAGAAGAGAGGGGGAGACAGAGACAGTGGGGGGATTAAATGGACAGCTCGTGAGAGGAGTGGAAGGACTGGAGAAGACAGAGGGATTCCCCGATGGCATCTCATCTCACTCTCTTTCTTGCTCTCCTTCTCCCCTATTTCCCTCCTTTTTTCTCCCAATAAATCATTCTGACTTCTCCTTAACCAACTCATTCCCAGCAGGCGGCAAGAAAACTGTAACAATCTTTCTCCTATCTGCTATCTCTCTCTTTTTCTCACTCCCTCCTCCTGTCTCTTTGCCTGTCTGGCCTGTTCCTCACGCACACACACACACGCACACACACCTGAGATGCACAGCTTGTAGCAGTGGAGGTGACAGAGGGGGGCAAATTACTGAACATTTTTACCACATCTCTGCAGGACAGAGCCACAGTAATATATAACAGCAGCCACATTACAGTTGCTTGAAATAACTCTTATTGTATTATAACTTAAATGTTAATTGCTTTAATAAAATTTGAATGTGGAATTTATTCTATGGGACAATTTGCAAAAATAAAACAGCAAGTAACAAAACTTTTGATAAAGTCACTATAATATCGCTGCAAACCTACAGTACACCTGGTTGTATATTTTCTTTATGGTGGATAGATTACTTGGAAGGGCATGCGCGTGTGTGTGCGCGCGGGCATGCGTGTTAATGTGCTGCAGCTATAAGAGGATTGCACATGATAATAGTACTGTATTAGACTGACTTACAGTGTCTGGTGGTGGATCCAAACAAGGAGGGGGGTGACAGTGGAGGAGAAAAGGCCTGCGTGTGCTTGCGTGAGTTTATGGGTGTTTTTTAAGGCTTTGTCATAAAAATGCACAAAAGTGTGTGTGTGTGTGTGTATGTGTGTGTGTGGCTGGGGAGGAAGAGATGGAGGAGGAGGGGGGATGAAAAATAGGCTGCAGATGGTGGCTGCAGACATATCTGGCAGAAGATGTGTGTGTGTGTGTGTGGGGGGGGGGGGGATTCAAAGCTTTGCACTGGAGGTCGAATAGTTGACAAAAAGCAGAAGCAAAAAAAAAACAAAAAAAACTTGAAGTCGCAGTGATGCCTGATGTGTGCAGCGACTCGGCCACAATATTGGAGGAATGCGCTTTTGTCGCTCGCAGGGGGTGGAGTTAGAAAGTGAACGAGTGCTGCCTACCAAACAGAGAGAGGGAGAAGGAGGAGAGAAAGAGAAAGGGGAGAGACGGGTGGGCAGGCTGCTCACCGTAAACGATGGTTGTCGGATAGAGTCTTGAAGACCTAATGAAACTGGCCGGTTGAATTGTTTGCAGGCGATTGCAGCGCGCAGCAGCCCCGGCGTGCTCTGCATCTCTCGGATCCTTGGAGCAGGGGAAAGAAAACTGCAGCAGCACCGAGATAAAGAACAGTTTTTAAAAAACAGAAGAGGACTTTAATATCTGTTGTTTCACCACCGTTTTTTTCCTCCACTCTTCATTTATCTTCAGTGAGCCCGTGCGCGCCTGCAGCAACTCTTTCCCCGGCGGAGAGGAGCGTTTCATGCCCGGAGGTAGACCGACCTCCCGCTTGGACCCAATACCGGCCTCCCACACTCCTCAGACGGGCTCAGAAGCAGCAGTTCCCGGTGAGAGAGAGAGGACCAGCTCATTCATTAAAAGGGGGGACCCGCTCATACGGACTTCCACAAACCCCCTTGTTTGAAGCCCCAGGATTTGTTGGAGAGGGTGGGAGGGTAGGGTAGGGGAGGAGGGGGATCGCAGTCTGCTTTATAGGAGGGAGGGAGGGGAGGTAGAGGAGGTAGAGGGGGGTGTTAGTCACTTCACACCACAATAGACTTTTACAACAGTTATTAACCACAGCAAGTCTCATTGAACGTGTCCGTTTGTATGCATGCATGAAGCTTTTTGTTCTCCCCCTCTCCCATCTGATAGGCATTTGCTGGGATGTTTGAGTCGCGTTGTTTGGTGGGGTGAAGGGACCGAGAGAGTGGCCGGAGAGACCGAAAGGGGGACGGAGGCCGAGAGAGGAGCCGAGAGCATGGCTCTGGTAGCGCTGTCTCTCTGGGTGCTAACGAGTCTCACCTGGGCGGACGTGGTCCAGGTGTCAGCCAACAGACATTCCGTTTACTGGAACAGCTCCAACATACAGTAAGACCACCTCTCTATCTCTTACCTGTGTGTGTGTGTGTGTGTGTGTGTGTGTGTGTGTGTGCAGTTAAATGTCATCTCACTTTGATCTCTCTATCCTCCACCTGTTAAACGGATGAATTAAATGTCCTGATATGCACTCCCTGGTGTGTCAGGCTCACACCATCATCACACTCTCAGTCCATCTATGCTGTTTGGCTTGATTGTGTCTCTCTCAGTGCTTTATCAGGGTTACAGCAGCCATGTCCTTCATCTGTGTCTGTTTTTTATATAAGTGGAAGAAATGATTTAGATCCCCAAAAGCCATTCACACAGGCCTCTCATGTTTCGCTGTATGTGGAAGCTATTTTTGAGTCTCAAACTGCTCAGTCAGACCCCCACTGGGAAGTCAAGGTGGCTCCGAAGTATCTTTTCAACACCTCCACTTGCACAACTATGCCTGCATATTTAGTTTCTGTTCCTCAGGCCAACGTCAATGTGTGCATTTATTCACCCCCCCCTCCCCCCTTCTCCTCTACCTTCAGCCATGCATGGTGAGGAGTAGAAAGAAAAAGGAGAATCACACGTGATCCCCTCTCCTTCCTCTGTCTCCGTCATGTGGCTCTCCCCTCTCAGTCTTTCAGGGCTCTTTCTCTGTCTTCTCCTCTATCTGGTTCAATTAGGAGCACTTCTTCATCCTGACCCCATTGTGTTGTAGCAGTGTCACTATTCAATCTCTCCTTCTCGCTCCCTCTCCAACTTGCTCTCTCCTTCTATCCCTCTCTAACCCCCTTTCTTGTTTACACTCAGTCCGTTGGCCTTTTTGTTATCCTCCTAATCCGTCGCTCTTCGCCCCTATCTTGATTCAAGTGAAAACCCCTTTTTCTCTCTTCTCCTCTCTCGGTTTTTTTTTTTTGTGTGTGTGAAAGCTGCCTTTTTAATACTGTCCTCGTGAGTCCATGGCTCTGCTGCTGGATCCTTAAGAATGTAGCGTCAGTCTGCTGCAACACACTGTAGGCTGATCTCTCTTTCAGCAATTCACAGTAAAATCTTGTTAATTTACGTTGTATATAAATGCGTTTCCGCATCCTAATCTGTACATTCCTTCTCCTCTGCCCATAACATGCAGATCAGATGTTGTAAATTTGCAACTGAATGCCAGATTTGACATGAAATATTGACAGATTTTCAAGATTTCACTTCAGGGAGCAATTCTCTGTGATCTAATGTGTTTAGATTGTCTCAATAACGTCGCAAAAATGACGCAATAATCAACCTAAATTTCAGGTCTCAGAGGTGCACAAGAGCGCATGTCACACACTAACACACACCTTCCTCTTCGCTCTCCATCTTGCAGTGAATCCTGTCTATGTGTGAGCGCTGTTTCGGCGACCAGGCGGCCCTTAAAACATCTCAGTTTGTGGTATTTACATCTTCAGCAGAATTTACTGGCCCCCTAAGATGAGCAGCCGGACGTGCAGCGACTCACATTTTACGACTGCGCTTATTAAAGACGTAAACAAAATGAAAACTTGGAAAATACGCTGTTGTTTTTGCAGAAGGGGGATCAATGATTGTGTCCGCCGACAATAACTCCAGGCCAATGATTTTAGTTTACAGCGTGGAATAAAAGTATGAGAGGCAAGCGAATTTATGCCTCGACAACAGAATTACTATACATGAAGTACTGCGTGAAGTAATAGGAGCGGAGAACATAATGTTATTGGTCTTGGTACAATGCTGTAAACAATATTAGTTTTTCTGAATGCGAGAAAATTATTTTTGCGGCACATTTTAGAGAAACTAATATTGTGTGCACAGTTGCTGCTAATGCATTTTAGCTGATATATTTCTCTCAATGTTGAGGAGGCTCATCTTCAATTTCTATACTTTCTTGACTCTGGAACAATTTGATAATAAATGCTAATGAAATTCCACCGTCGGTTTCCATATAAGACACAGAAGTTGATTAAGATAAAATGTGAGGGGGGGAAAAACGCTTACAGGCATAAAGGAAAAGGAAGTGAACCCGGGACCTTGGTACAATCAGCTCGACGTAACATGAGCAGCTTTGACCTTGGTAAAATGTATATTTAATTAAGTAATTTGTCAGTTGCCTTTCACTGTGTACTCAAGACTGTTTGTAAAGGGAAAGAAAGCTGCAGTTGATTTTTCTGACAAAGCAGTGGGAGTACTACAGCAGTCTGGAGCAGCCTAACCTTTAACCTGACTGTCCAGGACCTGAGTACTGCAGAGCCCCGCAGTCTCTCTCCTCCTTCTCTCTCCACACGTTGACTGCCAATACGCTTTTCATCCCAGCGGCAGAATATTCTTAGCCCCTGCAGTGTGAGTCTTAGTGTGTGTGTCTTTTATAAAAGACTGTGGTTAATTAAAGAACACTGCATCTCAGTGGACCTGCCTCATCCCTGATCTTCCCATCTCTCCCTCTCTCTTTCTCTTCCTCAGTGCACACATACACAATGACAACGTATGAGCAGTGAGTGGGGATAACTTTTTTTCAATCCAGCCTACTTATTGAATTAGGAGACAAAGGGGCCACGGACAGTGACACACAAAAGACAGATAAACTGCAGGATAACCTGTCTAATCCACCCTTTTATACACTTCCGAGCCATTTTTCGACGGCACAGATCCCATTCCCGGCGTTTATTTTAATCTCTGCACTCAACGCCACAACATCCCACATTTTGTAGGGTTGGCTGGCGTGTCTCTAGCCGTTGGCAATCGGCCTCTCTGGAGTTTCTCTAACTCACAGTGCAGTGTGGAGGTTTAGAAGGCCAATAATAAGCTGTAGTATAGCTGTCAGTTTGAGTGGTAAACACATTGTAAAGCCTCAGGACCCCGCAGTTTCTCAACCAGCTTCTGACCCCGAGCCACTCATCAACCACAAGAGACAGGCTGAGAATGTTACCATGGATTAACTGCTTCACACACACACACATACACACACACACACGGGCATGCACGCTTATGACATGTACATTTTCACATTTGACTATGATTACGCGAGTCCAAACAAACACACACACACACGTCCCCGCTGTGTACTTTTTTAACTTCGAGAAGATGGATCATTTCCTGCGTTCGCGTCTTGCACAATGGCTGTTGCCACCGCCTATCAGTCACTTGTCACTGATATCCCTGGGCATGAGTGTGTGTGTAATGGTGTGCGTTTTAGTGTGTGTGAGGACTCGCGTATGTGTGTGTTTGCCCCGTTACAGATGTCTCTGTTCATTGATGGGTGACCGAAACAAAAACAAATCCATCAGTCCGTTAAATCACACATTATCTTCCACCACCTGGCAATTAACCACCGCTGTGAGTGTGAGTGTGTGCGTGCGTGTACACGTATATGTGTGTAATCTAATAATGCAGCAGTTAACCGGTTTGCATAATAGATATCCGGTGATATCTCTTAATTTATCAGTTGTATATTTCGGAAGCGATTAGGTTGCGAATGAACAAACGCATAAGCATTTCTAGACAGTCGCTTTGTGTGTGTGTTGCATATGTGTATCAATGACACTGTCACCTCAACGCATGCCACTGGAATGAAGCCAGCTATCGCAAGCAGAATTTGCTTCTCATATAAATGCACATGCGTATGTGTGGTAATCGATGCTGAGGTGGAACTTGTTTTATATTCATCCTGCTCGTCAGAGTGTGCAGAGACACGTCACGCAGGGCAGGAGAGAAATAATGCAAGAATATGAGAAGAGGGAGACAGTGAGAGAGAGAGAAATGCTATGGGACTGGTTAGAGGAGAGGGGAAGTCAGGAGGAATACAGCCGGATTTCGTGTTGAATTGTAATCGAGCAGGGGGAGAAGGGTCATCATAATAATGATAATAATGCTTGGCCAGTGCCCCGATCCACACATTGAGTTCTCACATTAGACATCATAACACAGGCCCAGTGTATGTGTGTGTGTGCGAAACAGACGAGAGGATTAAGCAGGCCAATCAACCATCCCCTTGACAGCAACACAAAACTATCTGTCTCCCAGCCCCACTTAGGACAACAACATTTACATTTATGAATATCTGCACAAAGGAGAGTATTACTCACTCACTATCATGAGGCACACGGCCCGCCTGTGTGTGTGCGTGCGATGTGTGTACAACCCATCTATCATAGGCGTTCGCGCCGCTATGTCAGCTACCACTGTGGTGTGTGTTTGTGCACACACAAACACAAAAATAAAACCTCACACACAGGCTCAGTGATCAGAACAGTCATATAGACACAGTGATCAGGCTGTTCATTAGTAATGAATATTAAGGCCACATAGTGTATGGGTGAATGGATTCTGGTTGGGCGACGTGTGGGTGTTAAAGTGTGTGTGTGGCTCGCAGACGCTCGCATAGAGACGTCATTAATTAAAAGCAATAGGGAACACCTGTGTGATGGATGACTTCTGTTCGCATAATAAGATCCAGTGGTCCTCTCTCTACCTCTCTCTCGTGCTGTTGCTCTGTGTGTGCGTGGGTAGGAGTAAATACATTTTTCTGATTGGACGGAGATTGTCTGGTAGGTGAGCTGAGCAATAAGGGACATGTACAAGAAAGGAAGGAAGAGAAATGAATTATTTTCTCGTCGTCTATCTTTTTTCTTTGGGGATGAGCTAGATTTCAGGAGTGTGCTCCCACCTCTCTGTTCTTCTCTCATCCTCCAGTTGCCTGATGGGAAAGCACTCTTGTGGGGGGGGCGGGGGGGGGGGGGGGGGGGGNGGGGGGGGGGGGGGGGGGGGGGGGGGGGGGGGGGGGGGGGGGGGGGGGGGGTGGTATTTTGGGAGCTGTGTGGTTTAATGTGAATGTTGTGAGAGCTCTCTCTCTCTCTGTGTCAAATTAACTTGGACTAAATCTTTCCAGTGCTAGGAAATGTGTCGCCTTTCTTTGCTGTCTGCTTTTCCTTCACCTCACCTCAACCGCTCTTTCATTTTCTCTCCTTCTCGTCTCCTCTCGTCTTACACACTTTGAGATTTTGACCAAAGCCACCCTC